ACTGTTCACTCTTCCCTCATTTCCCCCTCTGCCACATCCTTAAGGAAGGGTCAGTAGCGCCTCTGCTCGGGCAGCGTCCCAGCCCAGAGCTGGCATCCACGTGGAGCCCTGCTGAGGTAGCTGGAGAGCTGGACCTGTTTATCTCATCTTAGCCACCCTCTATTGATAGTTAGAAATTGGCTTTTGTAGCCAAGAGATTTACAACTGTAATTGTCCAAATATTTCTAGAAAACAGACCAGAAGCTGTTGGTTTTGCTTATGCTACTACTTGTTTACTGATGGAAAATGCCAGGGATGAAGTTTAACTGAGAAATTGCATGCCAGTCCTTCAGATGTTTGGATTGGAGATAATTGTTTGTGATTAATTCTGCCAGACTTGATTTTTTGGCTTTGTCTGTGTCCAGAGGTCAGGAGGTGAAAGAATGTAGTACTTCAAGGGGACATCATCCCCTGCATCCACAGCTCAGAACCTACCAGAGCCAACTCAAGATGTGGGAAATACGAATATGTTAGAACAATTAATTTCTTTGGAATAATCTAGACATTTTGACTTTCATTTTTGTGTATCATCTTTAGAAAAGGGAGTTACTGGAAGAGCAGTTTATTGCAAAGAGGCTGAGTTTCAGAAAAGCAAGTTGGGTTGAGCAGCAGAGCTCCAAAGGAAGGGCAGTGGGGTTGGTGCTTTGCTTTGGGTCTCGGCCTCATCCCCACGGAGGTCTCTGAAATCCCACACCCTTGGGTACTTTCCCCTGATGAGGGGTGGGCCGTGGGGCAGCATGGGCTGTGACCTCGGGTAGCCCAGGCTGTGTCCTTGTGGATCTCACCTATGAACTGCATTTATGAGGTCCTGATGAGTGGCACTGTGGTTAACTGGCCACCTTCCCATTCTGTTTAAATAGCTCATAATTGCTTTGTGATTTTAGCTGTTTGTTTTATATTAGAATGCCTGTTTGTAACATCTAAGCACCTTTTACCTATCTTGTAAGGTAATTAAGAAGATGGCCAACACCAAGTTATTCCCCAGTAATAATGGCTTTATAAAACCCGTGTTAGTGATTTTATTGGTTTATTCTCTATACTTATTTCCAGTATAGAACTGTCTACAAATCGGCAGTTGATCAGCACCCATTCAGCCGCTTCTGTTTTCTCCAATTATACATTATGTTGATAAACTGTGGTAGTTAAATGGTCTACAGATCAAAATTCACCTCCTGGATCACAGAAGATTTAAGAGTCAGTTAAAGAAAGAAAAAAAAAAAAGAGGGGAGGGGGATTGTTTGGAGAGTGGGGGTAGAGCATAGACTTGTGTGATTTGCTGTTGTGTGCTTTAAAGTTTTATGGCCCATGTTGCATCCCTTGGGAGGATAAAGTGCAAGGAGCATGAACAAACCTATAAAATTACGAAAGGTTTATGTGATATAATTAATATGGAACTTTCCATGAACTTTATAATAGTTGTACTTTCTTAATTTTATGCGAGTTTCTGGTTTGCTAATAAGTAATCCGGAAGATTTCTAATGGAACCTACATTTTGGCTTTTCAAACTGAATTGTAACAAGATACATTGTAAGCTGCTGTATTTTGATCCATAGCTTCCATAGTGTAGTGTTCAGAATTGGCTGTGCATGCCTTGGGAAGCATTTTTGAGCTGTCGCCAGCTTTGCACTAAAAAAAACCCCTGTCGATACAGCTTTACTGGCAAATCTTCCTTGTGCAAGTGCAGCTTTGCTTGCAAAAGCACTTTTTATTGACACTGGATGGGTTTGCAGATCACAGTGTCGTAAGTCGCACCCATGGCAAAAATAATATGAGGGAGAAAGTTCAAGTACAGATCTGGCCTGGATTTGCACAGTAAAATCAAATAAGCATTGTGAAATTGCAGATTCTTTTTTAACTACAGAGGAAATTTTAGGTCTAAATAAGTGTAAAATGCTCCCTCTGGAATGCGCTGGTTCTCGATAAGTTGGACACGGATGCTGAGCAGTGCCAGTTCTTACTCCTTGGACTTTATCAGAAGGCTCTCATGGTGGGTGAGTGGGTAGGTCAGGTTGAGCAGAAACAACAGGGTTGATCCAAAGCAAAGAACAACCACTTGTTTATAGCTCCATCTTCCTGAAGATGTGTTTCAGCTGTAAGGACTAGGCTGATTTGAGGAGTGTGAGTAGCAAAGCGATAGTTCATCTGGTGTGTGAGCTCCTGGTAGATGGTCTGTAAGTGGGGATGGCAGATCTTGTGATCCCTGGGGATCTGCAGATGGCGAAGGCTTTGCCAAGGAACTTGAATCACAGAGTGGGGTACAGGGGTGGCCAAGGTCTGCCAGCATCGGTTGTGCTGCAGGGAGAGCAGCCCCCCTTCCCGGGTTAGGCTTCCTCATTGTGTCTGCAGAGGCTTTCCTCACTTTGGCAACAGGTCAGGAGGGATTCCCTCTGGCAGGGAAGCACATCTTAAAACAAGGGAGTGTACATCATTTGGGGAGAGAGACTTTCTTGTTCTTCATCCTCATAGGTGGCTGGCCAGCCTTGTCCTTTTCCAAGGTCAAACCTCTTTTAGAGGTCACTGAACTCAGGATCTGCTTCCCATAACTAACATGATTATTGTGTGTTGTTCTCACCACGTGGCTAGAGGATTCTCCAAGGAAAAGCCTGGCAGGTAGAGGCAGGTGTCAGTTGTTTTCCATGCTGGGGTTTTTTTGGAATGAAGAAATGTCATTGTTTAAGACAGAGAAGAGAAGTGCACGTGAGTTGTAGTCATGTTACAGGATGGTAAAAATGACCTTCCATTGCTACAGCAACACCAAGGTATGAGATGCTAACAGGAGTTGGAAGGTTTAGAGTCAGCAAGTTTGGATAAGTTCTACCAAAACATTTTTAAGGGATCTGTTATCCATAGGCACTTTCTGGATTAGGAATACTGATAATTGATGACAGTGGAAGAAAGTTAATAAAATGAGCTGAATAATTAGAGGTCTGCCAGCCCTGTGAAATAATGGAATGAATGATAGAGGACTTGACTGATACGGAGGTAAGGGGAAGTAATGCAATTAATGTCAATTAAAATGTGCCTATGGAAAATAAGCTGATGAGATGTAACTGGGGATGTAGTTTGGCTGATAAAAGCAATAATGTGTGCAGTAAAATACTTTGCTGCCTTAATGAATGTAGTGCAATTCAGTATTTTGAATGAGAAATGAAAACGGTATCAAATTAATGTAGTGAATGTTAAGTGGGTACCAGTGAAATCAGATGGTGGGTCTGAAAATACAGGTGGGAATGGTTGGGGGCTGCTGTCGAAGCAGAGTCCTGCCTGGCTTTCTTTGTTCCCCCAAGGAAGTTGGTGTCTTTGTGTCATGACACGTGTTTGTGAAGCTTTGAGTAGCAGGGGGGTGTGGTAGTGGTGGAAATGCCAGAGGTGACAGTCACTCATGCAGAACTGGCATGGTCAGCCAGCCCTGTAGAGGAACAGTCTGAGATAGCTGGTGTCAGGCTAGAGATCTTGGAACGGTGTGCAGAAATACAACTTGGGAGAACCTTCTCCCTGATTTCTTTTATCTGTTTAGCAAAGATCAGTAGTGGAGGAGGTGGGCAGGGCAGTGAGTTGGCCAGGGCAATGGCACCAAGAAGTTCCTGGTAACTCGGGGAGCACTCAGGACTCCTAAATTATAGAGCAGCTCACGTTTATCGTACACATTGCTGCTTATCTTGTGAACTCATCTGCTGTGCTTGCCCGAGTAGTTGATTTAACAGCAAGTATATTGTTGGGCTTGACACATCTCAGAGTATCATCAGGCTCTCAGACCAACTGTGGCACCCGGCCCAGCCACGGGGATCGTGGGACGGGGCTGCTGCAGGTCAGGGAATGTCTGTGTCACATGGAATTGCAGAGGAGCTTTATCATGATGCTGACATCTGTTTTAATGACACAAAATTATTAGATGTGTGAAAGGAAAAAGTTAATATCCTTTTCCTCTACACTTCCAAATGGGAAATTGCTATAAGTTATTTATGTGGGGTAAAATGCCAGTGAATAAGTGTGCATCTCATATACCCTGCCCAGTATGTGTCATGCCCAGTGTGGGAACAGTGGAGGGCAGAGGTGGGAGTTTTTAGAAGGACAACTAGAAAAACTTCTCTGCTATAGCTGGGGTGGCTAATACTGTTGCTCTGCTTCCCTTTCCTGCAGGGACTCATCTGTCCATAAACATGTGCATTTCATGGATGCCCTGATTCTTTAGCTGGTGTCAGAGGGGTGAGAGAGAGACCTAAAGTTAATGCTTCTGGGTATTCTGCAGGCTGTTGTCGGGCTTTGGGGGAGTTGGCATCTCTCTTGTTTGTGTATTCAGGAACAAAACAAAAAAATCTGTATTCTTCAGTATTTCTGCTTTTGACACCCGCTGGGTGTGGTGAGGTAGGAAAATTTCCATCCCTCTATCGCACTCCTGCGTTTAGGAGCTACATTCACTTTTTGAGCTGTGGAAAGAAAAGTGACCTGGTTTTAATTGGGTACAGCACATTTTAGTTTTAAATTAACTAATAGACCGTGAGTTGCACTTCTACTGCAACTTGACAAAATTATAGCAGTTGCTGGGGCTCTGTGCTTATTTACTTGCAAATCCTGTCGAGTGTGAACTTCATTTACGACTTCCCTGGCAGGTCATACCGTGGTGGTCACAGCTTCTATAACATTTTGTTGCTGTTGCTTGTAAAATTTGTCACTGAGGGAAATAATAAGCTAAAATAGGCATAAGTAAGCACATGTGCAGGCTCCTCGTGCACAAATCCATCAAAGCTCTTATCAAACTTTGCAACCACAAGGAATTAAACTATATTTACATTTCTGAAATAAAGGTACAATTTGGACAGAAGGCTGCACCTTTGCAATGACAAACTGCCTGTCTTTGAGAAGTGAGCTGCTGGCTTTCCAAGTGTTGTTGTAGCTAGGGTCTTCACATGGAAACAACCTATTCACCTGTGTATACATCATGTGTCTCCTCTTCTTTCTAGATGATCATGGGAACAGCAATGGCAGTCATGTAAAAATCTTTTTACCGAAGAAGCTGCTTGAATGTCTACCAAAATGTTCAAGTTTACCAAAAGAGAGACACCGCTGGAACACTAACGAGGTAGTTAAATCTCTTATTTATTCTTAAAGATAGCAGCTTACTTGATGCTTATGGATTGTTTTTTGAGAGCATGCCATGTAAGTTACAGAATATGAATTCCCTGGCTCTGAAACCTGTTGTTTAAATCATAAAGTCATATTACAGTTTGCAAGTGAGCTTTAAACCAGGCTTGAAGGCAGATGTGGCAGCTAGTACAGTAGGAGTCTGTTGCCCATGTATTTGTGCCACTTGTCTCAAAGAGTCAAATCTTGTATCAACTTATTGACATGTTTCAAAATTGCTTAAAATTAGGTAGATGTTTTAGTACCATGTTAAACAAAATGTTGTCTCGCTATGTGTAAAGGCTTACAAACAAAAAGCAGTGCATGTACTTTCCTGCCAAAGAGAAATTCCTCTCATTCCTCCTGAGAAATCACTAACTTACACCTATCTTGAGATATCTTAATAAGAGGAGATAGAAGGAATTGGGCATTTTATACTGGAATCCAGTTACTTTGAATGTGCTAGTTTGCATATCCCCTGTTAATCAATCATGGTTGGGTTCACTGGAAAGAACCAGAAGTATTTAGAATGCTGGTGCCTGAGGGGCCAAGGTAAAGTTGAAAAATAATCCAAATAGGCCTACAATCCCATGCCTTTGTTCCTTCTGATCACCCAGTCTGGAAGTTACATGGCAATGCCCACAGTATAGTTTTAGTTTTCAGTAGCGGTGTCTTACAGTACCTGTGCCATATTTGTGGGAATCATTCAGTAATAGAACGATCAACTTTGAGAAATTACTATACAACTGCAGTTAGTATTTGCCTGTTGCAAGCTAACTGTTCTTGTTCCTCTAATCAATCATTTGTAACATCTAAGCCCGTTAAAAAAATCGCACTCACGAGTTTAATGACTGCAAGTGGCAAACTGAGCACAAAATCAAATGTGGATCACTTCACGTGTGTATTTCTCAAAGTTGAGTCCTTCACCCCCCTCCTTTTTTCTGAAAGTAAAAGTCAAGTATCTATTTTTAACATACTAACTACTGTGACAGAATTAATCAGGTCTTCTGGGGATTTGCTGGCACTGGCTCTTTTGTGTAGATGTTTTTGTCTTGGGTCATTTGAATTGAAATGTAAATTGTGGAAAATGTGAGTTGCAATTTATTCTGTGATAGCGTTTGTACTAATGGGAACGGGGCAGGGAGAAATGGCAATTCCAGTGGCTCTAAAGGACCATGTTTTGACACAGACAGTTAAAAGGAAAGCTCTGCTCATATTTGTGGCAGAATGAGAATGCTGCTTGCTACTGGGACCAGCTTGTTGGTTTTTAGTCACTTTCAGTCACTTCTCTCTACTATTTCTGTGGTCCCAGTTTAGAGCCTGGGTGAACATTTGCACACATAGGCTGTCAGCTTTTCTTGTTCAACAGCTTTTAGTGTGTGGAGCCTCCCAGGCCACAGAAGGTGGCAAGTGAAGTTAATCATATAGCTGAAAGTCTTTATTATTCATAAGCTTGATGCAAATGGAAAAGCATAGGTGCCTGTGAGGTGTGTTGAGCTAGAGGAAGGATTTGGGAATGTAGCTGCCTCTCTGGAGGACATGTCAGCATTCTGGAGAGGGGACTGGAAGCAGGTTTGATGGGGCTTGACAGCGTTGCTCGTGTGGGCTTGTCTCATACCTTAGTTCCAGATGGATTGTTTCCTGGTAATCACAAATCATCAGCTGGTATGTTAAAAAATCAAAACCAACCCACTTCTGTCTCTTTGAATATCAAGTTTGTCACAGTCATTTGTATTTCTCCTTCCTCCAAAATTTGTCACCATAACTGCCAGGCAGTGGGGACAATGAGCTGGTTCTGTACCTGGGTCATTACTGGTGCTGTCTCTGCCAGCGTGTGTTCTGTGCCGGTTGCAGTTTCTCTGTTGCATTATTTAAAAGGAAGAGCTTTTCTTGTGGCCAGAGATTTTTGACCTCGTTAGAGGTGAAAAAAAAAAAAAGAAAAAGTCTTCCTACTAGATGAAGTCTTGAAAAATTTGTGTTAATTATGGGGGAGGAGGGAGCTTAGTTTACAGATTTCATTTTCCTCCCCACCCCCAACCTGGAGGTTTAATTCTGTTCAGTGTTATAAAACTTGTTTTTTTTCTGAGGGTATAATTTAATAATAACGTTGGACTACATTTCAGAGCCATTCCTAAGGGAATATATATTTTCATCTGAGTACACAGGTGTGTTCTCTCTGTGCTGATGAAGGCACAAGTTATAAAATACAGAAGAAAAATATGTATTTTATGCAATGGTAGTACCAGAATCTTTATGTTAATTTCAGAATCCCTGGTGCTGCTTGCTAGGTGTCTCACCAGTAGGGAGCTTTATTTAAATATATGAAAGAAATAAAATGCATGAAGTAACTTACAGTTCTGATCGTGTCTATGACATTGCTGTCCTCCCCTTTGTATGAGGATATTTCAAGGAAACTTAAACACGGCCCTTGTGTGCATCTGCATGTCCTTGAAGTGCAAAGCCAGTGTCTCTCCATCCATGGGGCTGGTGGCAGCACCAAGGCAGGGCTGGTGTCATTTGCTGGCATGTGGGCTCTTTCTGCCCAGGAGAGCCTTCCATCTGCAAATGAGATGCTGAAGGCAGAGGTCAGGGAGCAGTCAGGGTTTGTTCTTTCCCTCTACCAGGGCATTGCCATGGGAACGCCGCAAATAACTTTTCTGAGCGCTTTCATCTACAGATTGAGGATAATGGTCATATGTTGCTCTGAATCTGGTAATTGGGATGGAGAAACAATATCCTCTGAGAGCCGAATAGGTTGTGGTTGACTTTACACTTAGTAAAATAATGCTATGAGCAGCAAGAGAAATGGAGCATTTAAAAGTGCTTAGAACATGTTATTGAGATGTTTGCTTTCCGTCAGATTATGCAGTTTTAACTGAAATGTTTGATGGAAGTATATTTCCATATCAAGATGTCATCTCATCTTAAATCAAGTTTATAGTGGTTTTATATTTCCTAGTGAAGGAAGTGTTCCTTCTAATTCAGGTTTTTTTTGGTGTGTTGTTTTTTGGTTTTTTTTAGCCAGAGATACAAAATCATGAGTTTAGCCAAACAATCTAATTACAGATTTACATTTTTTGAGATGCCTGTGAAAGCGTGAGCCTGGTTACTTCTCCTGCTTTTGGGGAGGATAGAAGGGGTTTTTTTGTATGATTTCTTATGTTAGGACAAGTAAGTTAATTGCCAGAAAAGTCTTTTATGCTGTCTGCATCTAAGGGAGCTCCTTGCTCTTGGGTTTTAGTTCTCATTCGTTCTGAACCATTCTCATATTTGTGTAATGCAGACCTGGTGTGGTTTTAGTGAGATGTCCCATGGCGTGGTGCTGCTGGCCTGCCTCGCGGGCCCCTCTCCTGCCACGGCTGACCTGGGGACCTGAAGTTCCTGGGACTCAAGGTGCTGGAGGAACCATGTCCCCACACGGCACATGCCAAAAGCAGAGCTGCAGTTCTGGGCAGAGATGCCTTTCGTTAGTGGAATTGGCACCGCAGTCATTAATCATCCTTCTAAACACTTAATGACACAGTATGAGAACGAGGAAAAAGTTAAACATCGGAAATGTAAAATGCTACCCAGAGCTTTTGTTTCTGACAGTGCTCTATATTTACATTCTCTGTTGGGAAATGCCCATAATTTCCACAGCAGAAAAAAACAGTAGTAATTGCTTAGTGTGCTCTGGCTTTTCCTGAGGGGCAAGGTGGAAATGCCCCCTTTTCCAGTGCAATATCTAGCAAAAGCTTCTTATTTCAGACTTAGCTGTTGCTTGGTAGTATGCAGAGACGGGCAGTTATGAAACTGAATTTGAGCATTATTTAGCATAGGAAGGAGTGCTTTGAGGCCACGGCGTTGGGGACAGTGAGCTGTGTGCTCACTGGCATCTCTGATGTTCTCTTGCCTTTCTGCTTTGCTGGCACACAGTGACATTCTCCTCTCCACTTGACATCGCGTTATTTCCCGTCTTTCTTCCTTAAAAGTACAGGGAAGATCTTGAAGGTTTGGAGAATTGCCTGAGGGACGTGAGGGACTCAGACTGATGTGGGAAGTGAGTCTGGAGTGCTTGTGCTGGCTATTGTGCTCTGAGATGCTCGCAAGACGTAGGTGAAAGCGATCCGTCGTCTGCAATTCCCCCTCAGCCCCCGGCAGACGAGTGTCAGGCAGGCGAGTGTCAGGCAGGCAGTTACCGGCACGGCTCCTGTCATCACAGGTTTGTTCATCAAAGCACCACCCTGGGTGAAGACTGAGCAGTACAACATACTGCTGCTTGTTGTTTTTTTTTTCTAAATGCTCTTAAATGCCTTTTAGAATTAACTCATGTCTGCAAACACTGCTTTGTTTTTAAGGCTGCCCTGGACGGTATGGTGTACTATAACGCTTTGATATGTTACTGTACCAGTTCATACCTTATTTAGCAAAATAGCCCAATGTGTTATAAATTCATGGGGCTGAGCCAGCGTAGGGAATCAGTGTTTGTCACCATGGCAGTCAGGGCAAGGCAAGGGTGTCTATCCAGGTCACAGCATCCCCTCTGTGACATGCCATCAAGAGGGCAAAACTCCCTGGAAAAGCAGCGGCTCTCATTACAGCTTCCTGAGGACTGTCAGGTTACTCAGTGTATTTGTGTAACGCTTTCCATGAAGTCCAGGCTAATGGAGATGTTCTCCTATGCGCGGTGTTTCCCGCAGCCAGCGGCCGGGACTGTGAGTGCTCCAGGGCTGGGGCATCCTTGCGATCAGCTTCAGCTCTGTGATCTCTTGAGCAATGAGAATATTTAAATTTGAGTAATTGCCTGCTGCCCACGTGATCAAGGAGTATAAAATATTACAGTGATATCGGCAAATGCTGTTGTTAGAAGTTTGGTAGCTGCCTGTTCCGTCTGCTGATCCTCTGCTGCAGGAGGAGCAGGGAAGCAGTCGCAGCCTGGCTACTGCACCCTTATACATAGCACCTCCTGCCACTGCTGGT